TCTCTGAGGCCTCTAGAAATTGTTTGGCCTGCCTACCGATTGTCCAGGATTCACAGCCATATGTTAAAACTGGATGTATGTAGCAGGATATACACTTGGGAAATGTGCAGTCACACATTACAGACTGCATCAGACAATTTATGAACAATAACAGTAGTCTAGAAAAATGTTGCTGCCACATAGATCCTTATTGCTAAAAAATAAGAGACTTTGGTTTCTGTTTTTACTGTAAATAGAGGATACCATCTTGCTAGTTTCTTCCAGAGTAATTAATGGAATTTGCTTTGTATAAGATGTCATTGTTTTTCTTCCTCTTCTTAGCGTTCACCAGCTGTAAACTCTGGCAGAAAATTCTGGTTGTTCATCAGTTTCTGTACTTTGGTCTTGTTCAAGAATATGTGTTTTTCATGCACATCCGTTTAACTGTGCTTGTTTGTATGCAGACTTTTAGTTTCTTACCTCTCAGGCAGATTCAGTCCAGCTTTAAAGGAAACGTCCCTTAATTAATCACCTTTAAGGACATGCTCGTTAATGAGAGAAGCAGTGGAGCCCCCCCCCCCCCCCCCCCCCAATAAAAAAGGGGCCTCAGAACCCTCATGGGGAAGATGCCATACTGTGTGCTTCTCTGTTTCATGAGCATTCAATTGTAAGTTTTTCTTTAATTTTACTTTGAGACGTCTCCCTTACAAATTTACCTGTCCATGTTGTTCTCAATTCTTATGTAAATAAAACCAGCTTTCACATGATTTCTCACTAAACTGTTGACTGTCTATGCCCTACTTTTTATATTATAACAGAATTGTCTCTGTTTAATCTTTTTTTAAGAAATTTTTCACCTTGCTTGATGTAGGTACATTGCAAAGGGTGTCATTCTTCATTCCCAAAATTCTGCTTTTGCGTGTGCCATTATTAATTTTCTGTCAGCTATTATCCGGGCACTGAAAAACTTGTATCAGTCTTGTCCATTTTACTTTACTTATTGCCTTCTAAAGGGCATTTAACTTTGTTATTAACCCCCCCCCCCCCCCAAAAAAAAATTTGGGATTTTTTTTTTCAGCTTACCTTTACAGTTATATTCTTTTATTCATTAACAAAATTATTATTGTTTTTGTTTCCCCCTTACTATTATTAGCCTTACTTCTATTTTGTTATTATAGTTGTCTTTTGTGAACCCACCTTATCAGCTCAGCTGTACACACCCCTACCTCATATGAATTCTCACACTTCTTGTCTACCTAGAACCTGTTTAAATGTTGCCACTCTTTTATATTCCTCACAAGGTAGAATGCTTGAGATTTCTTTTCACCTGATAGTTCATTTATTGCTCTTTGTGGATTACACATTCTTATGATATCATGTAAGGAAACTGCAACATATTGTGACCCTTAGAAAGATCTGTGGAAAAAGAGACAGAGGAAGACAGTGCAAGAGGATTCTTGACAGCCTTTTGTCTTGGCATGGAGGGATGTCAGCACATTAACTGTAAAAGGCTGTTGAAGATCGCAAATTGTGGAGCATATTGCATAAGACCCATGCTAGTTGGCCAGGCCTGTCATGATGATGATGATACTGTTGTGACGTGTTGCATTGCTGTTGGTTTGCTGGTCTTGTTCTTTACAGTTGCTTACAAATGTCCTGATGAAGATATTGCAGCTACAGCATCCTAATTTGTTCTGATTAATATCTTATTAATACATGTACTTATGTGAAGTGGGGTCAGATGTATTTGATGGCAAAAGCTGGGAGCACTTGATGCAGGTTGCTTGAGGTCCTATACTTCTGTGGGGATATACAGTCCCATGCAGTAGATTTCCCAGTATGATGCAAGTCTTTGAAATGCCATCCCTAAATGCTTCACACTGTCAGATCAAAAGTTCAAATTGTATTTTGATTTTGCTGCCTATGCCTCTCCCCTTATCGTGCCCCTTGATGTGGCCGCATCTCTGTATCATAGCACGGCACAGCCATAGGAATAAAAGAAAAAAAAAAGACAAGCATTCATTACTTTATACTTTACAGAATGGCTAAACACTGTGAGGCTTTCAGTTTCATAGAAAATGATTTTTCACTGAATAGACTGTATACCTTGGAGCAGCGAGACAGGAAAACCATACAGGCGCCACCCATCGTTACATCAGCCAGCACAGAATGGAAGTCATTAGCCTAAAAACACTTGGAGACATACTTAAGAGGAGATTGTAGCACTTATGGTCTTGTGCAATGAAGATGATCTGTAAAATGAAAAACATTCTTTGAAATTCCTCAGTTATTTAGCGGATTCAAAATGTTTATGAAATTATTTGTGGTTCGTTAAATTACTGTATGGTATGCAATAATTAGTTCACTGTTATTAAATGACTGTATTGTTTCCTATTGTTCAGCCACTATCATTGACTGTTTGTGTCATTCAATCACTGCCATTGAATTACTGTACTGTTTCAAATCATTCAGTCACTGCCATTGAATTACTGTGTCGTTTCCTACCATTTATTTAGTCACTATCAATGATATACTGTACTGTTTCGAATCATCAGTCACTGTCATTAAATTACTGTGTCGTTTCCTACCATTTAGTCACTGTCATTGAATTATTGTACTGTTTTCTATAATTCATTTTTATTGAATTATTGTACCGTTTCCTAACATTCATCAATTGTCTTGAAGTCATTTTTATGCTGTTTTTTGTCATTCAGTCACTGTCATGAAATTACTGTATTGTAGTATCTTATCATTCAGTTACTGACATGTTCAACCACTGTCATGAAATTACTGTATTGTAGTATCTTATCATTCAGTTACTGACATGTTCAACCACTGTCATGAAATTACTGTATTGTAGTATCTTATCATTCAGTTGCTGACATGTTCAACCACTGTCATGAAATTACTGTATTGTAGTATCTTACCATTCAGTTGCTGACATGCTCAATCACTGTCATGAAATTACTGTATGGTATGCTGTCAGCTGATCACTATCATAAAAATTATATAGTTTTTTGTGATTCAGTCATGTTATGAAATTACTGTATAGTATTCTATAATTCTATCACTGTCATAAAAGTTACTGTGCAGTTTCCTATAATTCAGTCGCATTCATGGAATTACCATATTGTTTCCTGTCATTCAGTAAGTAACTCAGGAAATTACTGTATCTTATCATTCAAACATTTATGAAACTGCTATACTGTTTTCTGTAATTCAGTTACTCATGTGAAATTACTGAAACTGTTTCCTGTCATTCAGTCACTCGTGAAAAAATTAGTGTATTACTTCCTGTCATTCAGTCACTCATGTAAAATTAATGTATTACTTCCTGTCATTCAGTCACTCATGTAAAATTAATGTATAACTTCCTGTCATTCAGTCACTAATGTGAAATTAATGTATAACTTCCTGTCAGTCACTCATGTAAAATTAATGTATAACTTCCTGTCATTCAGTCACTAATGTGAAATTAATGTATAACTTCCTGTCAGTCACTCATGTAAAATTAATGTATTACTTCCTGTCATTCAGTCACTCATGTAAAATTAATGTATAACTTCCTGTCATTCAGTCACTAATGTGAAATTAATGTATAACTTCCTGTCATTCAGTCACTCTAGTGAAATTAATGTATAACTTCTTGTCATTCAGTCACTCATGTAAAATTAATGTATTACTTCCTGTCATTCAGTCACTCATGTGAAATTACTGCACTGTGTCCTGTCATTCAGTCACTATCATGTATAGTTATTGTATAGTTTCCAGTCATAAAATTACTGTACTGTTTCCTATCAGTGACTCACTTTAAAAATTACTATCCGTCACTTATAAAATTACTATACTGTTTTGGTCACTTATGAAATGATTTCATGGTCTCTGGGTAGGTAAAAGTGACCAGTATTTTCATGTAAAGTTAAGCATGGGTGTGACATGGAAATACAAGTCTTCTGTGAAATAATGAAAGAACACAGAAAGTTAACATGAAGTCGGTAGTAACAGTATGTGTTTGCACATATAAAACTGGGATGGAGAGAGAGAGAAAGGAATGGAGACAGAACCATACTATGTTGTTGAACTGAGTGCCTTATAAGGCTGTATCAGTTAGTTTACCATACTACTTGACAGTCAAGATCCAGTATATGAAAGGCTGAAATAATTCCTTATTAAAAGCAAGCATAACCGAGATGAAAGTTGTCAGCCATCAGTGCTAGCATATTATTCCTTTCCTTCAAGACATTATTGTACTGTCTCCTCTGTGTGGTCTGTGTTAGGGAGGGAATGTGTTTGATAAGGAAGGATACACGTTAGCATGCAGCACAAAGTATTTGTTATGTTTTATTTTACAGCTCAAGTGAAATTATGGTAATGTAGTTAGGGTAACGCTTATCAAATGAGAAGTCAGCTACCTCTTTCCCTCCAGTAGACTAGGGACAACCATGATGGGACCTGAGAACTGTCAGTGGTCACAATCACAAGTTCTAAACAGTGGGGGTCGCTGTAGCAACTAGTACTGTCGGCATCTGTGGCTTAGGCATTGCGAGCACGATTTGAAGTGCTGGGCTCGATCCATGCTGCAGGCGATTTGGTAGCAGGCCATTTTGCATTGGTTTCAACCGAGAGTCACCCGTTCAGAAAGCAGGGGCAAACGTAAATTTACCCAGAAAAACCACAAAATCACAAAAATGTGGGGTTGGTTCTGCAATGTACTGTGAAGAACAACCAACTTTTATAGCCACTACCTGGAAGGAAAACATTAGCAAAATATTTTTTGTGCAGATGCCTAGTCAGTTATGATTTGACCACACATTCTCTGATAAAGGTATAAATACTTGGCCGCAGGGCATAATAAAGTCAAGAATGCTGACCAAGACTATTGATTGTATGAGTTAGGGAATCTTGACATATATCAGCAAAGTACGTGATATGATGATTGATGAATTTGAATGATTATACCCAACATATATATGATGCCATGGTTTGTTAATGTTGACAGATTGAATGATTGTTCATTTCAGGAAGACTTTCTCAAGTAGCAAGTTATGAAATGCCTGATGAAATCAACTATAGCTCAGTAACTGTTTACGTAGACACTGTACATGATGATGATGATGATGATGCAATACAGTCGGATGCTTCTCCAGCAGCCTGCACTCTGAGCCATCACATAGTGAATGCAAGTGACATCAGTGATTGCGTAAATCCTGCTAAGAGTATACTGCGGCCGCGATCAGGTCAAGAATACCTTTTTATACAGCGGATATTTCTTACATCCCCTGTCATTTTCTCTTGTTTACCAACAAATTCATCATTTGTCAACAGTGTTTTCTCAGAACTTCAAAAACCTCATGAAGAACTGTTTCTTTCTTACCAGACTGATCCACCAAGTGCCATACCATCTCAGAGTATACCTTCTCATTATTTAAGCTTACCTCATAATACTCCCCAAAAATCTCCAAGTACTTCAAGTGGGAAAGAGACTGTCAGATCGTCTGTTAGTGTGCATAGCCCATTCTGGGGACCTGACCCTAGTCACCATAGATGCGAAGGAAGATCACATGCAAAATGTGATACATCATCACTCGCTTCAACTCCTTATCCAGTATTCTCTCCGCACCATGGGCTCTCAGATTCTCCTATAAAATCTAAATCTGCTCATGCGGCAGGTACTGAAGACAGCATCTTTTTCCCTATGTATATGACATTCAGCGCAACAACACCTCCTCCTTCACCTCTTGGCCCATATACTCATACATGCTCAGCTCAACATACCCCAACATATGTGAACCAGGAGTTTGTTAACAGACACAATAATGCTTCAGCTAGCGGTCACACAGTGAGCACCAGTGGTAGCTTCTCTACTAACTCTCCTATTCGAGCAGGTATGCAGTCACTGAAGTCTCTCATTTTCAAGGATTCTTCAAGGAACTCGCCAAGAGTGTCTAAAGAAACTAGAACACAATCCAGACATTCAGAATCTGATGCTAATAAAATTGAAAAACTTTCTCTGAGTCTTCCATCTTCTAAACACAATGAGTCTTCAGCATCATCAAGTGTCCAGCGCTCCCACTCTGATCCCAAAAGATCAGACGCAGATGAGAAATTGCAGCTTCCACCAGGAACAGTATCCAGTTACAGAGAATTACCTCAAAAAGTCTATGATAAGTTTGCAGATTCCAGTATAATTTCAAGACGACGACGAAGGCACGTAGCAGGCAATAAACTGACTGGTGAAGCAGCATTAGTACACATCTCAGCAGAACCTTCTCTCAAAGACATTAGCCGAGAACATTCACCCATTTTGAAGTCCACTGGCTACAAAAATATAGACTGCATAAATGCAGCCACATCAGCTGCCATTTCCTCACCGTCACCCAGAACACCTTCTGTAGGACCAGATACTTTGCATTTAGGTCACACATCACAGTTAGGAAGTATATTAGAATCTCGTATCAGCCCTCATGAAATAATACATTCCCCAGGCAGTTTAGTATTTGTTACTAGAAACAGACACTCATCTTCCTTTGTTTTCAATGGTGGAGGACCAGACACTGTTCAACATTCAGTTACCATACCTAGTTCATCATCGCCAGCTCCTCTATTGCCCAGCCGCGAAAAGATACCTTCTTCACCATCATCCTCATGTTCACTGAATTCTGCTATATCATCCTCAGATGTGTCTGACTCCCCTCCATCGTATTTTGCTCCTTCACCACCACCACACACCCCACCTCCACCAGAGTTGCCTCCGCGATTGCCTCTGCCAGCTCCTGATGTCATGATATCTTCTAGCCCCATAAAGCCAGACACAGTATCACATTTATCATTTGTCACGCAGCAGCTGAATTACATAGAAGTCGACACGACCAAACCCGCAGAGACAGTTGTTCTTGCTGCACCTTTAGCAAATTCCCGCAGAAGTAAGCGGGTGAGGCAGCAGAAAGAAAAAGACTATGCTAAATTACGATATGCTGTAATTGACCACCAGGCAACAAAAGCCTTGCAACAGGCCAGGCAAGAACATGAGCAGTGTAGGGATAGCAGTTTGCGGCACATACAGCCGAAAGACGCACATTTAGACAGAGCAAGCCATCTCAGCCGAATCAATTCAGCACCAGCTTCTTCTAAAAGAAAACAGATTTCTATAATGCAGAGAGAAAGAAAACTTAGTTCAGGTTCAATTGAAACTTGTTAATCTATATGAACTGCTTGGTTTATTTTATGCTGAAACATTTCTGGCATGCTACATTGTGTGGCTTCAGTCACTTTCACAACCATTCATATGGAGCTGAAGTGATGTTCATGTTCTTTGTCAAGTAAAAGGCATTAACAGCTTTCACATAAGACTATTTAATTTAGCAATTGAATTTCTATTGATAATGATGATGTGGTTGGCTTTTTGTATGTCACTGATGCCTTAGTTAATTTCTTAGATGGTTGTGACTGTGTGAAATTCACGTATTAGCCATTATTCTTATGCCCTAGTTTTATTTCTTTGTTGTTATACCTCTGTAGCAGCGTATGTTGCATTATGCAGCTGTCTGTGGCCAACAATCTTATTTATGCAAACACATCCTTCCAATCATCCACATTGGAGGGATCCGAACTCTGGCAGCCTTAAGAAAAGTGCTCTTGCATTTTGTTCTAATCTACACACCCCTATAAGACATAATACAAGTGCCTCAAATATGCATAATCAGTAACAATATAGCTGACTTTTGCTGACTTAAATATACACATGGTTGTTATCTTGAATGTTTCATCCTATATTTTACATAAAATCTAGCATCTTTATGCCCCCTTCCCCCTTTTTTTTTCTCTTGTCTTTCATTTTGCCAGTCTCAGTTTATTTAGGAGTGCCCATTGACATCAATCAAAGCTGTCATTTATTTTTTTCTTAGAGAGTGTATGGTTATGGTTAATTCTATTTCTTATTCATATGTGAACTGCTTTTTATGGTTGTGTTAGTTTATTTTCAATTTTTTCAATGAATGTTCTTAATTTGGATTATACTTGTAATGTTCATTCTTATGTATTGTGCATAGTTGATGTTCTGCACAAACCCAGATGTTTTTTTAATTAACTGGTCTTCATTCTGTCGAGTCAAAAGGTCACAACCAGTTTGCTTGTCAGTTCACTGACTGCATATATTTAACAGTGTATTTGTTTGAATGGTCCAGAAACAGACAGGGGTTCCAAAAGTGGGTGTGCTACTGTATAATATAATCATTTCACTTTTGACATTCATTTGCACTTAAAGAATTTGAATGTTTAACTGCAGAATTCATATCTTTGTTTATCTGCAGCCCTAAATCCTCAGACTTAAGATTTCTCTATCCTACACCACTGGGAATAGTGCTAAAGGCAGACAGTTAATTATCTTAGTGTGGATGGTATATGTTTGACACTTTTCACCCTGAGGGTTAAACAAGACACAGACAAGTATGCTTTTGTTGGCTATTTATAGAACACATTAATTCACATATTTGTTTCTTAATGTGAAGATAGGGGTGCCTGTACCTACCTTTGGCTCAAACAATGCTAGATTTATTTTCCTAAGATCTCTTTGGTAGCAACATTTGATACCTAGCCATCTCAGATAAGGGTAGAAGATAGGAGGAGAAAGGTGGCTTTTGAGACTTGCCCTATCCAGAATTTTTGCGATTTCAAAACAAATCCATGGTATTACTACCTGTGGCCTTTGATGGAACCTGTCTTGAGGTTGTAAACCTTACTCCTGCACACAAACCTTTGAGTTAGGGATATAATAAAATGTGTTTCCCCCCCCCCCCCCCCCCCCCCCCCAACAAAAAAAACCCACCCTAATATTTTTTAACAGCATGAAAAGCTATCAACACACGAACAAATACAGACTGTTGGAAATGGCAAGATATGATGGTAACCCATATCAGTCAGCTAGGCACCTTATGGTGATGAAGAAGAATTGTCAATACATGACCTTGAAACAGTCATATGCCAGCTGACAGTGGCCATGACTGCCACTTCTTGGAAGTAGAATTGTCCAGTCACACAGCCTGTACCTTCATTTACAACAAAAGTTATATGCAAAATTATGGACTACGCAGTCACGCAACCTAAACCTTTCATTGTGACGTAAAAGGTAAAGTCTGGAGATGTGAACCAGCGTCATTGCACACGGTTATAAACCATAAGTGCTCTGCCACCAGTACGGACAGCTGATAAGAAATTGTCCGCCTGTGTCGCCGTTCGCATATAACTCTGTAGCTACACGACGTTCCTCCATTTACCCCAGAGTGTCACTCTGGTACCCATTTCCTAGAGGCTGGGTGAACCAAGAGAACCGTCCGGTTTCGAACACTGACCGTGGCTGCAGCGAGTCACAGCTGGATTTTAAAGCGAGCCTCCTATTGACTGCGCTAACGCGACCCCCACATAAAGTATATGCAATTTCATGGACTGTATACATTCGCACAGCCCATACCTGCAAATACAACATAAACTATATACAGGATTAGTCATTATAGCAGTCATACAGAGAAAATACCTGTGTTATTTCATAATGATTGCACTTTGGCTCCATTGTGTTGTAGCTTAGAGCTAGGCTGCCACATCTTTCAGCCCAACACATCCAGTTTTGGAAAAGCCCTAATTAGTTCACTTTTACCACAAGCTAACTGGGGATGCAGCGGGTCCATCATATCCGCCCCCCCCCCCCCCTTTTAACAGTGGAATCCTGGAACCCACATTTACTGGGGTTTGTCATTTTGTAACCCCGCCCCCCTCCCCCTAACAATGGAGCCCTGGAACCCACAATTACTGGGGAGGTGGTGGGTCTAACATCCCTCAGCAGTGGAGCACAATACAAGCAGTTCAACTCTAAGTGCAATGGAACTCTTGACCATCTCTTGATGGTTCAGCATCCTGATTTCCTAGTTGTCCATTATTATTCATTTGTAAGAGCAGAGTGGCAAATATGAGCTATGAAATCCTCAGCTTGTCTCCACTTTTGACATCTGCTTTCGTTTTAAAGATGGCAAAATTGAGGATTGGAGATGGTGACTACATCAAAAGTATTTAAAAAAGGTAATAAGGATCCTTTCTCACACCATGGGACAAAGTGGATAGATGGTGCTAGCCCCCTAAGTGGTAGTTGATTGGTGTTTGTGCTCGGCGTCATGCTGGTTGTGCTTGCTACCTAGAATAATTCATGGTACCTATTCTAGCCTAGGTCAGTGTAAAAAAGTTGCCTTAATAAGAATTTGATCCTGGCCAACAGGTAAGTGTGCAAGTGGCCATGTTAACAAGATTCTCATCTAAAATATGCACTCCTTATAAGTAAGTTAAAAAAGATATGTTGTGAATAAATGTAAACTTTAATTAAGGGGATTTATCATTTGGGGGGGGGGGGGGGGGGGGGGGGTGGGGGGGGGGGGGGGGGGCGGGTCCTAATTTAAATGCATCCACATTTTGTATGTGTGGTTTTTATTGTTTGTTTTAAAGAAATACAGGGAGCAAATAGTGTGCAGTGTTATTTAATTGATGAGGGAAAAGATAATTACATTACAAATTGTCAACATTTGTAAAATTGAGGACTATTGTGGCAGTGTATGTGCTGTTAAATGTTAATGTAAAATGTGACTACTGATAACAGAGCATACTTGATTAATAGCATGACCAGGGGAAAGAGATGGTTTGTTTTGCATTCACTTATGTATGGGTTGTGAGATTGTGTTCATGAGGTAAGTTACCATGGTGTGTTTATTCATTCAGTTTATATCCTTGTTCAGCTATGTAGTGTTGTATTCTACAAACAAAAACACAAGGTTGTGCAAAACTCATTTGTAATCATCTGTGTGAAGGTCAGATCAAACATGCTTTGCTTTTTTTTTTTTTTAAACTAAGACTTTAAGAAACATTGTTGTCACCATGTGCAACGAACATAATATAAGATGTAGATATATATAGGTACCTCTGTATTTGTCCCCTTTCTAGTGAGTCTGATGTAGTAGTATACATCCTGTTTAGACATGAGCATTTGTGCTTGGTAAATAACCTTTGTTGTACAACCTATACTCATAGGACTTGCATAAGTCAAAATGAGTCACGACTCGTGTTAGTGGAGGGGCACAGGGAGGAGCTGCAGGAACCTGAGAAAGAGGAATACAATACTAAGATGGGTTTACTCTCTTCAGGCTCAGAGGAGTTGATAAAGGAAGCCCCTATTTCATTAATCAAGGAAATGTTTGCCAAAGGGAATAATGTCAAAAACATTGCCGAGAAGTATCACCATAACAGAACCCAAACAAACCATAAAAGCGTTGTATGGAATGACCAGACAATGTCACATTTCCTAAACATCATGAGATGAAGGCAAAAGCAAAGTTCTTTGGATGGATTTTTAGTTAAGGTCAAACCTGGTGAGCCTTAACCAGGTCCAAGTGAGATATAAGTCCAGGGAAATGAATTGGGGATGTACACCAAGGTACCACTGTATTTACAATATTGCGGTGATGGACAACAGATTTGAGCTTTAGTTAGGAGTCAAGGTGCCTATCGGAAATTTGTGTAAACTTTATTCCTTCTCTTTCACATTGTACCTAGTGTTTCAAATTTGAGTCACTGTAGTATCTTAACAATGATACAAATCACTCCTTTCTTTATTAATGGTTTCTTAAAAAAGTGCACAAATATTTTACACCCCACATATACGGTATAAACATTGACTCCTCCATGCTTTGCTTTGTAAGAAAACAGTAGTAATTATAGTTTTATTTATTTTGTCCTCCTTTGTATAATGATTGTCACATTCGTTGCTGTTGTCTAACTGAATCAGACTTGTCTTTCTCTCTGCCTCTCCTCCAGATGTGATGATATTCATAGCTTTTACTTTTTCTTGAAATATACTTCTTTTATTTATGATACAGATAATTGAAGCTAATCATTTTGTTTCTATGACAACTGCTAAAGGTAAGACCTATGAATTTAGTTTGTCACTTCTCTGTACATTGTCTTTCATGTACTTTATCCTGTCCCTTACAATGGGAATGATTTATGTAGGCTGTATATCTTCTATGTTTGCCCATAAATGGGCAGTTGGCACACTGTCGTTTATAGCTAGGTTGCAGTAACTGTCTTTCAGCCCAGCACAGTCAATTAAAACCAAACCTAAACTAGTTGCCTTCTGTACCATGCTTCTTAAGAGGCAGTTTGTCT